TTCAGTCTGTTGCTTTTACTTCTAAAGTAAAAAAGGAAACCTCAACTAGTTACACCATTTATGTGAAACTCGGCCCTTTAGAATAATTGGAAAGAAAGCAAAACTGTCTTCTAAGTTTTTTTTCTAAATTGCCAAGGTGATTTTAAGCTTTAGTGGACCCTTTAAGCCTTGCATTAATTTTTATTGAAAACTGTGTGTGTTGTGTGTGTCCATGAGTGTGCTGTGGGGGATGTGCCTGTGTTTTAAGAGAGCTCCCTCTGGGTCCCTAGATCTGCCAACCTTTGGTTTCTGAAACAGCAGTCACAGAATCTAAGACACTGGCCTTCCCTATGCTGCGATGTCAGTATTAATTAGATTTCAATTCAAATATCAGCTCCCTCTCATATAATTTCACAGTATCCGCACTTTGTATAAATAATGTTTTTTTCAGAGTTTGAGCTTCTTGAGGGTAAGGACGGTCTCTTTTGCTCATCATTTTATTCTCAGTAACCAGAATAATTATATGTCACCTAATAATTATACATAATTATATTATGTATATTGAATGAATTTGTGAATCCCATTTATTCTGACTTAGCATACAGTTTTATCAAGTAGTAGGAAACTCGAATGAGACTAGAAATATAAGTGCCCACTGAGATAACGATAAAATTTGGAGTAAACACTCCATAGTTTCATTTATTCCCTGCTATCATTTTTCTCAAGAGTTTTAATGGAATGGGGAATAATATATTTAATGTATGATGCTTGTAAAACTTTTAACTGAAAGGGACCTTAGGATTATATGTGGTTATATATATAAAATATATAGTTCAATCTTCAAATTTTAAAGCTGGGAAAACTGAGGTTTATTAAATTGTCCAGCTAAGTTGCTGGTAAGTAATGAGAATTTGTTCTGGGACCTCTCCTAAACTCCTAAAGATATAGGCCTGTTTATAAGGATAAATGAAAGTAAAGGTAAGAATTAAGAAAGGAAAATAATTTTCTTTTTAGTCAATTTGTGCCACTCCCAGTCTCTCTGCAGCCAAGAATCAAGCACAGTTAGGTATGGTATTCCAGAGGCTATAATAGCATAGGATATAGAAAATCTTTTATACTGAAAATATTATAACATCCTGCTGTTTTAAGTGACTTAGTGTATTCTGGGATTAAATCACACTCGTGACAGTTAGAACATGGTGGCTTGGCCCTGCAGGGTTCAACTCGTCTAGTTGTTTCTAAAATTCTGTTTCTTCAGCTGGTTTTCATTTTTTGTCTGAGTTTGGAAATATGCCATTCGTTCCTTTATGTATGGGTACATTCAAAAGTATTTGAACACTTACCGTGTGGCAGGGACTGTTAAAAGAATTGGGGATAGCCCGGCCTGTGTGGCCCAGTGGTCACGGTTCGATTCCCAGTCAGTGCATATGCCCAGGTTGTGGGCTTGATCCCCAGTAGGGAGCGAACAGGAGGCAGCCAGTCAATTCTTTCTCATCATTGATGTTTTTATTTCTCTATTTCCCTCCCTTTCTTTGAAAAACAAAACAAAAACCCAAACATTAAAAAAATGTGTCTATATTTAAAAAAAAGCATCAGGATATAGCAGTGAACAAAAGCAGACCAGGTCCTTGCCCTTGTGGCAAAGAAAGAAAGGCACGTGAAAGGATGGGGCTGCCAGGTCATTATTGCCAATTTTTGATTTTAGAAGCTCTTGATGATAATAAAAAGAAAACGGAACTTTTTATTGATGAAAAATTGAAAACAAAGATAGAGAAAACAAAGCTGTATGTGGTGAATTGGGAGATTTTTCTTCTTTTCAGAAAATCACTGCTTTCTCTGTATTTCTGACCCCATAGTGGGTATTATTGCTGCTACTTACCTAACGTGTTGATTGCTTATTCTGTCACAGGCATTGTGCTAAGTGCTTTGTGTATATAGAACCCTGTAAGGTAGGGATTATACCATCCATTTTACTCTTGAGAATACAGGACCCAGGGAGGTTCACTAAGTACTTACTCAGCTAGTAAGTGGTCGAGCCTTGATTTGGACCCAGGAGTCGGTCTCCAGAGTTTTTGCATCTGGGCCAAGTATTAAGTATTACAAGCTGAATAACCTATATTTGTTATTATGACAGTAAAGGTTTTTGTGCTCAGTTTTTTGCTTTTATTTGTTAACTTGCCAGAACTTCATGATATTTCTCAAAGTTCAGCCACTTTTAACTCCATGTGTAATTAAAATTTATGCCATATGCAAGAAAATGCAGAAAAAACATGTATTTATTATTAAAATATACTTTTTAAAAATGTGATATACCAAATATGGTAGACATGAGAAAAGTCTAGTGTATAGAACTCATTGTATAATGTAATTTTTATAGTCGTCTTTTATATGTATCTAAAGTGCCTTGTGAGCACAGTGCGTGCCATATAGTAGGTGACCCATAAATAATAGTAATTTTTAGTATTTTCGTTTCTACTTCACTTGTAAAGTAGGTAATAATTTTTACTTTCAGGTGATATGCTTTTAAAATACTTTAACAGCACAGGATGATAACCTGATTCAGTAACCTCAGCATTCATATGTGGACCTCTCCTTTTATATATCTCCAGGATTTATTTGGGTAAAACTACATTTTGGTAATTGAGGGCTGAGGCCCACAAACTTCAGTATTCATCAGAATCACTTGGCAGGCTTCCTACAAGATAGTTTTCTGGCCACCCTGAATTCTGATCCCAGGAGGTGTGGGGTGTATCTGAGGATTTGCCCGGCATTCTCCCGGGTATTGCTGGTTTGTGGATCGTAGTTTTAGAATTGCCACTCCAGGAGTGACATGACTTCTAATTATGGCTGTTCTCTTACAATCATACATGCCCAGTGAGTTAATGTGTGGAGTCATGATGTTGCTGCTCTTATTGTGAAATTTATTTTGATATGATATAGAGAAATTTGGTTTGTGTAAGTATAATTGCTCTTTATTGCTTAAGAAAAATATTCTAGCAGTTGCTTTTGCATTAGACAATTTCAAAGTTCTGGTTTTAATTTGTTTCTATTCATCTTTATTTAAGAACACAAAAGCAAGAAGGTTTAATTTTTAGGGGGAGGACCGCATTACAACTTTTGATTTTAGAAGCCCTTGACGATAATAAAAAGAAAACGGAACTTTTTATTGATGAAAAATTGAAAACAAAGATAGAGAAAACAAAGCTGTATGTGGTGAATTGGGAGATTTTTCTTCTTTTCAGAAAATCACTGCTTTCTCTGTATTTCTGACCCCATAGTGGGTATTTTTGCTGCTACTTACATGGTGATTTTATCTGTTATAATTGATATCTGAGGATTATAGTGTATCAGGATGACGTAGCAATTTAAAAATAGCAACACAAACAGTTTTCTTTTGCTCTTTTCAAGAATTATTTATTTAATTACTTATTTGTTTATTTTTCTGGCCCTCATCCTATGATATGTTCACTGATTTTAGACAGAGAGAGGGGTGGGGGGAAGGGGGGGCGGAGAGAGAGAGAGAGGGAGGGAGAGAAACATTGACTGGCTGCTTTCCTTTCATCCCCCTGACTGGGGATCGAACCCACAACCCAGGCATGTGCCCTGACTGGGAATCAAACCATGACCTTTTGGTCCACAGGAGGATGCTCCAAACTACTGAGCCAGACCAATCAGGGCTCAAGAATTTTCTAAAATTAAAATTTGATAGATTAGTACTGAGTTCGATTTGTTATTCATCATTTTCACTTATAAAGTAGGTTTCACTGAGAATTTCACTTATACCAATATAACAATTTTACCTTTTCTTTTCAAAGCATGGCTTAGACCTTTGGGGATATGATGGTATAGAGGGGTTATTCTCTCCAAGAAGAAAAGGCAATCAGAAAATCTTTGTCCATGAAATTAAACTGAAATGTATGCTCATTTATCTGAATACCTTTATGTGCCAGGCTTTATGGTGAAGATCGGTGCCAAAGTAATTTATCTTTTTCATGCACAATGAGGGGTTTTAGTGGATTGTAAGTTAATATGACCTAATTTTGTGATGAGGTTTCTGATAAACCTAATGCAATAAGATGCTTTATTAATACAATTAGCATTGTGTGCAGGTTTTGGGAGGTACAGTTCTGCTGTTTTATTTTGCTAGACCATAGTGTTACATTTGGTTTAGAGCTAAGGGACAAATTGGAGCAGTTCCAGAGGTGAGGAGCCCTGCTGTTGAAAGGTCTGGCTAGTTTTGCATATGAGGATTGTTGGAAAATGGGAGTAATTCACTGGGTGGGAAGACATTTAAAAAAAAATACATATATATATATATTTCTATTGATTTCAGAGAGGAAGGGAGAGGGAGAGATAGAAACATTAATGATGAGAGATAATCATTGATCGGCTACCTCCTGCATGCCCCCACTGGGATCAAGTCCACAACCTGGGCCTGTGCCCTGACTGGGATTTGAACCATGACCTCCTGGTCCATAGGTAGATGCTCAACCACTGAGCCATGCCTGCTGGGCCGAAAAGACATCTTAATTGTGATTTGAGTTCCCTGCTGTAATATAAGATCCATGAGGACAGCGACATGTCCACCTTGTTCAGCACTGTGTCATCAGTGCCTCCTACAGTGTCTGCTATGTATTCAAAACACAGTTGATTTTTGAGGGGAAGAGATGGTCACCTTCAAATATTGGTCTTGTAGATGCTTGTTAATTAGATTTATTACTTATATCTCAGAGAGCATATGGTGGCATCAGAATTTTTAGGCGGCCAGATTTCAGTTTTACATAAGAAGAACTTTGTAAAACTAGCTTAGCAGTCACACTGGTAAACTCCATGTATTTTAATTCTGTTATTTTAAATGCGCAGGGAAGAGCTGCATGGGGATTTACTAGAAAATACAACTGCTTTTGATAAACTGTTGTCAAACTGATTTCAGCTGTTTCTCTTTATTTAAGTATTTTATTAAAAATAATGTCAACTATTAAATGTTTTCTTTCTAATTTAGACCTTTCTTGTCTTTTCAGACTAAAGCAAAGCAAAGAACTGGACCGAGAGAGGGCTCTTGCCAATGAGCAGTTAACCAGAGCTATTCTCCGAGAGAGGATATCGAGTGAGCAGGACCGCACGAAGGCAAAGCACCTGGTGAGCAGGAAACAAATAGTGGAAATGTCTTGTCTACAGGAAACCTCTGATATTTGGGGAAAGCTGCGTCAGCTTTTAGAGTTGATAAAATTCATGTTCTCTTTGCTTCGATTTCCTTGTTTTTGCCTTTTACAAGTAGTTGGCAATTTGCTGAGATTAACCATGAAGGACTTAAAAAGACAGGTAACTTCAGAATTATTGAAATAAAGTCAACACAGAGATATAGGTACATGCATGTTGCCTGAAAGGATAGTTTGTGTGTGTGTGTCCGTCCATCCATCCGTCCGTCCGTCCCTCCTTCCTCCCTTTTGATTCTATTGTATTGGAAATCTCTGGGGTGAGCAGCCTCGCTTGTTTCTGTGCTTCTGATGACTGCCAGATGTTAGTCTGGCAAGTCTCCAGCAAAGGTGAGGAAGGTTGGATCAGTCACTTTCTGGGCTTTAGAAAGGGGAAAACATTGTGCAAGGGCTTTGAGAAACCAAAAGAAATAATTAAAACACTTTTTTTTTTTAATTTAAAGAAGAGATGATATAAACATGTCTAAAATTAATTAGTAATAGAAGAAATTTTAAAAGGCATTCATCAATTTGTCATTATCTTGCAACCATTCCTTGCATTGGGTGTGTTTCCCTCTAGACAGTTCAAAAAAATGTTTTTATTGATTTTAGAGAGGAAGGGAGAGGGAGAGAGAAAGAAACATTGATGTGTGTGTGAGAGAGAGAGAGAGACAGAGAGAGAGACAGAGAGAGAGAGACATCCATTGGCTGCCTCCTGCATGCCCCCTACTGCAGATCAAGTCTGCAACCAGGGCATGTGCCCTGACCAGGAATCGAACCTGTGACCTCTGGGTGTCCTTAGTTTAGCAGGCATTTGGGAATTGTTGAAAATTTTAAGAAAAGGGCCAGTTTCTGTTCTCTTATTCTTTCTCTCAGTCCTTTCTTTGGGAGGCTAACCTTTGACTGTATACCAATACGTAGAAACAGTTAAAGGAAGTTAGCATGTAATGAATCCGTTACTTCCGTGACTCATCCAGGATCCAGGCTGAATGGGTAGACGTGAAGCTGGAATGGAGGTGATGGATTAAGAAAGAAATGTCAAGGTACTGGCTGGTAGCCATCATGAGGGGCGCACATGTTGATTGGAACTGAGGCCAAGACATGCGGAAGGAGAGCCAGGGGGATGATTTCAGAATTAAAGGCAGTAAGTGTTGAGTAATTCGATCATTGATTATATCTGCTGTACTCCTGAGAGTCATCTTCACTAATGTCACAGCCTCCCAATTTGAGGGCCAGGAATGGAGTGGAGAGGGTTAATAGTGCTGATGCAGAAGGAAGGCTGGGTTCGAGCTTCTAGTTTCTAGCAGGTAGAAGAATCTTTGGCTGGCATTTTTCTTTGTGCCCCCGTTTTTTTTCTCTTGTCTTTGAAGCACTCTTTTCTCTACTTTCTTTGTGCCTAAATTTGGACATATTGTCATATTCTTTTAGTTTAGGGAGATAAGCAAGATTGGGATTTAAGAACACATTAAACATACATGCATATGTTAAAGCATAAAAAGAGTTTTCACCAAAAAATGTGAAAATATAAGAATTTCTTATTTAACAGTAACTAAAATATTATGTAATGTATTGTAAACTTGGTTGGAATAGCTATCTTCAGCCCATTTTTCTCTTTGTAACTTGCAAATCTTGTGTATTACACACATATATATTTTAGCATGTTAAGCATAAGAAACTGGCCTTGTATGTTCTGTTTTGTTCGGTCTCATCTTTGTGATTCTGGGGATGTAGAATACAGATGGCAAATTGCCATGCTCTCAACTCCTGCATTTCAGCATCTATTATAATATTAGCCAAATAAAGCCTCAAAGCCTTTAGGGCAGTGGTTCTCAACCTTCCTAATGCCGCGACCCTTTAATACAGTTCCTCATGTTGTGGTGACTCCCAATTTCATTGTTACAAATTGAACATAATTAAAACATAGTGATTAATCACAAAAACAATATGTAATTATATATGTGTTTTCCAATGGTCTTAGGCGACCCCTGTGAAAGTGTCATTCGACCTCCAAAGGGGTCTCGACCCACAGGTTGAGAACTGCTGCCTTAGGGAATAAAAGTAGAATTTATACAATAGGATCATCACTGAGTCAGAGGATCCTGTCCCGGTTTGAGTGTTCTCAGACATCTGAGTGACAGTTCCTGGCCACAGCAAGGTGGCTGCCTAACAGTTTTACCAAATTATCCCCTTCATTGTTATTATTCATTATTATAGAAGGCATAAATATTCATGGGTAAAGATCAGAAAATAAATACAAAAAATATTAACCCACTTAAAATTACCACTATCCAGAGATAGTTACTGTTAAGTTTCTGGTTTATTGTTTTTATATTTCTTTTCACATTCCACTAAGTCTCTATAAAACTTAGAGTATATGTATACATACGGGAATATGTATACACACAAACATAGGTGATAATAAACTTAGTCTTATATAACTCATACAATAACCTTCATTTAAAAAATTAGACTATATGATAAAGGTCTTTCTATACCACTAAGTGTATATGTGTGTAGTCACTTGTAATGGTTGAATGTATCTAACTGGATTTTTCTTTGATTATTAAAATACTACAGGGATATTTTAGAAAACTTGGGAGACAGAAAAATTACTGAGGACCCAGCTCATATGCATGAGGACAGCCATTATCAAAAAGACAGACAACAACAAGATTTGCAAAGATGTTGTGGCAATATAAAGTGGCAGAGCCACTGTGCAAAACAGTATGGCAGTTTTTCAAAAAATTAAAAATAGAATTACCATATGTTTCAACAATCCCACTCATGGCTATTTATCCAAAAGAATTAAAAGAGTGACTCAAGGAGATATTTGTATGCCCATGTTCATGGCAGCATTATTCACAATATCCACAAAGTGGAAGCAACCCAAGTGTATAGTAGATGAATGGATAAACAAAACCGTGGTCTATACAGACAATGGAATGTTATTCAGCCTTAAAAAGGAAGGAAATTCTGACACATCATGCAACATGGGTGAACCTTGAGGTCATTGTGCTAAGTGAAATAAGCCAGTCACAAAATGACAAATACAGTGTGACTCTACTTACACGAGGTGTCTAGAGTAATGAGATTTATAGAGACAGTAAGTGGAAAGGTGGTTGTCGGTGCTGGAGGGGAGGGAGGAGTGGAGAGCTTTTTAATGGGTATGGCTTTTCAGTTTTGCAGGATAAAGAGAATTCTGGAGATTGGTTGCACAACAATGAGAATGCACTTTATATTCTTGAACTGTACATTTCAAAATGGTTAAGATGGTAAATCTTGTTATGTGTATTTTACCACAATTAAAAGTTAGAAAAGAATTACTAAAGATGTAAGCAATATTGCACATATTTTTCTGTTCAAAATAGTTTAGGTGAACAATTTAATTCTAACATGTATTACTATTTCTTATTAACTAGATTATTTTTAAACGCTGGGTACCATCCAGGTTTCCAGATTCTGTATCCCACCACCTTGTAAAATGAGTGGTGTGGAACTTCAGGCCTGCTATTGTCCCTTACTTTCGTGATCCTGAGCTGGGGAGGCGGGCATCTTCAGAACCATGATCCATGTAAGCGTCACCCCGGGAACGTTAGCATTGCTCTGCTGTGAGTGCTGGGCTCCCATTGCTGCATTCTCAACCCTAATACGTGGGGCCCTGAGTGAGGGCCAAACATTGATTTGTTCTTCTTTATTTAGAACCCAAATGTTGCAGCCTATATGAAAGTAAAAGGTTAGATTTCACACATTTGAAGGAATTGGAAAGCTGTCTTTCTGGAGAACTAGGGAAAAACACACACAAAACCGATGTGGTGTTGGTACTGTGAAATAAAACGAACTCCTCCCTCCTCCCTCATCTTCCTCCACCCACCAGGAGTTGACACTTGGATTGCTGTCTTTTTAGATGTGATTCCAGGCTTTTCCTCCCACAGTTGTAGATGCTGGCTTTCTTAAAGCTCTTTGAAGGGCAAAGTCATGGTGGCCCTGCCGTTGAAGTTTCAAAATAGGATCAGATCGAAATTTTCCCCTTTGGAAGAATTGCTTTAGCTGGAGAAGCCGGCAAGTCCTGCTCTAGATTCAAGAAGGGTATCCCAGCCGCCCATTCTACCTCTCGGTGACCGGTACCAGTTTTCAATCAGCTGATTTCACCCCGAAGCTTTTGGGGAGGCAGTTCACTGATAATTTTATGCACACAAAATGTTAATTAAAATCCACATTGAAGCTGTGCTTCTTAGGAGCAGGAAAGCACCTGCTCCTAAGAGTGAAGACTAAATAAGAGGAAACCTGTAAAGTTAACGCAACGTGACATTTTGTGTGATGTTTAAGATCTCGAACAGATCAATCTAATATTTGCTGGGTCGTCAGATTTTTTTTTTTTTAATCACAGAGCAGGAAGCTGTATTTTTTTGACTTTTCAAATATATTTGATTTCTTTTTACAATGTCAATTAAAATTTGATTGACTTCTTTTTCTCTCATTAGGCTGTTTTAACATTAGTTGTTCCTTATCACCGCAGAATTATGTTGTATTGTCTTTTTAAATTTAAACTTGAAAAGAAGCCCCACTTTACTTACTTAAGGGGATAGCTACTGAAATATTCTGGAGTTTATACAAACATACATGTGAAATAATTTTCTTCCTCTTTGGACAGATGCTTTATTGAGTGCTTACTGTATGCTAGATACTGAAGATATAGAAATGAAGACAAAATCCTGTCCTTAAGGAATTCACAGTAAAATGTGGGAGATAGACTTAAAATAATGTTAAAAAGTGTTAAGTCTGTTATAGTGCCATGCTACTTACATTTTTGTGAGAATTCTCACTTTTGTGAAAGCAGGGACTTTTTTTTAACTCATTGCTGTTTTTCATTTATTCACATTCAAACTTATTTCACACATTCAAGTGCCTAGTATGTGCCATTGCCTAGCAAAGAGTCAACAGTCA